AGCGCCTCCCGATGACTATGAGGCGGCCCCAGGGGTGGGGTCAAGAGGAACGGCGAGAGGCGTTTGGAGAGGGCGGCCGTCCGTCAGGGCTCAAGGCGGAAACGGCCTTGGAGTCGGGGGAGGGGAGAAAGGGTGGGCCACATGATGGCGCTTGAGCCAGTGAGTGAGCTGCTCCCCTGGTTGGGGCTTTGCGGGAGAAGCCATCTTGAGAGTGGGTACGTGGCGAAGTCAGGCGGCGGGAAGCGTGCTTCCCCCAGGTGGCTGCCATCTTGCAAACGGGCAGAGGCCGTCCAACCCGGGCTGGAGGGAAAAGGGCGGGGGTCACCATCTTGGATTCGGGCAGGAAACCTATGGAGTTCCATCTTGCTTGTGGGCACGGGGCCCAGAAATCTGATTGAAACCTAGATGTTACTGCTAGGATAGCGCGCAGGGAGGTGGGGACTGCCTAATGCGTCCCGGGCGGCCCCGAGCTTACCGGCACGATGTGTTGGGGATCGGCCTCTACCGTCCTTTGTTCGCTTCACAGCAGCGAAGCCAGGCAGGTCCTCTACCCTGACTGCAGGAATGGGGAAACTGAGGCCCGATGCCCACGGAGCACGCCGCCTGGCCTGCACGCGGGGAGACAGGCCCGGGAACACAGAACAGAATCCCGCTGTCAAGGGATGTTCGGGACCGGGTGCATCTCCGTCCCAGCAGCAGCAGGAGAGCACCCTACACATACCTCCCGAGAGCATGATTCCAAAAATTGACAGGGTGTGGCTTACAGGGGGCGCCTCCTGAAGAGGTGGCGGGAAGCCTGGGTTCGCCGGGTGTGGGGGTGTCTTGAAGGGCGGTCGGGGTCAGAGAGGCCAGCGCCAGGGAGGCTGCATAGTGGGTCAGCACCCCCACCCCCACCCCCCAGCGCCTTGGAAGCTAACGGAGCCGATGCGTCCCCAGGCCTGGCGTATGCCCGCCCCAAGTAGATACTAAATAAACAGCAGAAGCCATAGTAGTAATTGTTTGCCATAGTCTGTGGCGGAGAGGGGCTTCTAATTGGCACCAGTCTAGACCAGGAGAAGAAAGGCCATTTCTCCTTTGCCTGAATGGAACAAGGCTGGTTGCCCTACGTCAGGTTGGACCTGACACCCGCGGGTTTCAGGGTTCGGGGGCCTACGGGGTGTGTGTGTGTGGGCGGGATGGCCTAGCCGCAGCTGGGGTTGGGGGCGCAGTACAGGTATGTGTCCTGGGCGCAGCCTGGGCACCCCCCTGCCGTGCTCATCGGAGGCCTCCGGTGGATTAGGGGCGGCTGCCGATTTGCACGGAGGCTTCCTGCCTGTGGTCCTCGGCCCTCACTTGCGCCTAAGGCCACGTGAAGCTCGGAATGGCTAATCAGGAATGTCCCGGCGGATTTAGGAGAATCCCCAGTGCATTCCTGTGGATTTGCCCGGTCCGGGAATCCCATCTGAGCTCTGCCCTGGGTACCACCAGGCCAGCGGCTCACCCTCCTCTCTGAGCTGTGCGGGAGGTGCTGCCCCTTGACAGCAGTGGGGAGGCAGGGAACCCTGGGAGTGTCACAGCCCAGAGGGAGAAGAGGGGGCGGCTGATCTTGGTGGTTCCAAACCATCAGAACCATATTAAAACCCACTTCTGATGGGAGGGGCGTGAAAGGCTAGGCAACTTTGCAGCCCGACCTCCTGCCCGCCCTTGGTTCCTGACCTGTTGGCACATGCTTCCTTAGTACAGCTGTTCCCTTCTGGAAGGTTTTTCCCTCACCTTCACTAGTCCCTCCTGAGAGCCCCTGCCCCAGGGCCTGTGTGCCTGCCATCCTCTAAAATGGCTATCAGTGATGGTCTTCCTCTCCACCGTCTGCTGGAACCCCTCGGGGCGAATCTGACCTCAGACCAGCGCTAGGTAGAAAGCATTTGGCAAGAGAGTCAAGAAGGCACGGACGCAGGAGCCCTCGAACGGGCAAGGCCCCCCTTCTGTCTCAGGCAGACCTGGAATCTTGCTGTTTGCTGGGAGGAGGTGAAGGAGCCGAGCCAGCCCCTGCCTGCAGAGAATCCACACTGATCACCACCATTCACAGTGCCACGAACTGGAGGAAACGAAACAACACAAACTCCTCCGTGGTCTGGAGGCCAGAAGTCCGCAGTCACGTCCCCAGGGCTTTGCCCCAGGGGAAGGTCCTTCCTCCCTCTCGCAGCTTATGGGGGTTCCAGGCATCCTTGGCTCGTGGACACATCACTCCAAACTCTGCCTCTGTGGCCACGAGGCCACCTTCTCTGTCTCTGTCCGTTTTCTGCCTGTCTCTAAAAAGAACACGTGGTTGGATTTAGGGCCCACTGCTGTAATCCAGGGTGGCCTCAACTCCAGACCCTAACCATAACTGCAGAGGCCCTTTTTCCAAATACGTCCCGGGACACTCACAGGTTTCGGGGATTAGTATGTGGACATGTTGTTTTGGGGGCCACCAGTCAGCACCTGACACCATGTGAAACTCGGAGCGGTGACAGAAGGCTGGCAGGCCCTCCATGATTGCAGCGGGGGAGGCTGGGGGCTCATGGTCACCAAGGCCCAGGGCCTGCATGCACACATTGGACGTATGCCCCTGGCTCACCAAGGAGCCAACCCACCTGCTTCTGCGCTCTTCTCCCTCCCAACCCGTCTTGCCTGCCAGCTGCTTCCCTCATTAAAGATTCAGGGTGAGCGTGGACTGGGATCGCCCTGCATTTGTTTGAGATTTTGAAAACGATCCTCTCCCTAGCTAGGAGCAAGGGAGAGGGGAGCCTGGTAGGGGCCTGCTGGGGACTCATTCCTCTTTTCTGAGCAGATTGTGGGGGTGTGCCTCGGTTTACCCATTGTCAAAGCGAATGGGGTTTCGCACCCTGACTCTCTGTGGGGCTTCCATGTATTTCAAAGGAAAAGGTTAATCATTTTGGAATATATATTCACCTTACAAAAGCGATAGGGCGGGGTCCAGGGCCTGGGGCTTGGGCAGTCCCTTCCACATCCCCCGCCCCTCACAGTCTCCCCGCCTCTCCAACCCGTTTTCCGGATTTCTGCAGGACTGACCCACCCCCACCCCTGCAGGCTGGAGCCTCTGCTGCAGGCTGGGTGGCCTGCAGCTGCTCTGGCCTGCCTGAACTCTGGGGTGAACAGCACTGCCTACAGCCAACAACAGTTCACACCAGAATCTGCCTCCCGCCTGGAACCTGGTCCCTCCTTAGCCCCAAGGCTTCGGGCAGTTTCCTCCTCCAGTTAGGGTGCCCTAGAGGGACCCCTTTCCCTGCAAGGCGGGTGGGGGGGGGTCTGGAAGGTCTTCCCCTGAAATGTCAGGGTCACCACCCTAACCCCAGCTGGCGCCCAGCCCCCACCTAACTGCAGCATCCCTCCAGCTGCTCCTCCCACTCCCAGGCCCTGGCCGGCCCCTCCGCCCTGAGGCCGCCCCTGCCCCCGCCTCCCCACACCCTTTGCTGTTTTAACTCTTTAACTCAGATAGGAAATACTTTCATCTCCTTTTCTAAATCCCAGGGAGGCTGAGTGAGCCACCTCAGCCTGGAAGAGGCCCCTAGGGCTGAACCTGGGTGGGGGTCCTGGGGAGGAGCCAACCGGCCAGTCGTCCAGAGGGTCAGCGTAGAGTCAGGGTCAGAAACTCCACTCCCAGGCACATGCCCAAGAGAAATGAAACAGGTCCTCACAAAACCTGTACATGCATGTGTCCACAGCAGCACGCGTCACAATGGCAAAAGTGGGAACAACCAGATGTCCATCAATGGACGGACACACACGTGTCCACCGACACACAGAACACCACTCAGAAAGGAGCAGAGCCCTGCCACGCGCCACACGTGGACAGACACAGAACACACAGGCCATAGGGTATGACCCCATTCCTGTGACATGTCCGCGACAGGCAAATCCACGAGCAGAAAGTGTACTCATAGGTGCCCAGGGCTGGGGGAAGGATAGAAAGGGACAGCTAATGGCTGGCCTTTCTTTCCTGGCGACGAAATGTTCTCAGATTAATTGTGGGAATGGTTGCACAAAACCCCACTGAGTTGTGCACTTCAGTGGGAGACTTGTAGGGAATGTGAATTATGTCTAATAAAGCTGCTATTATGAAATCATTCATATGCAGACTGGAAATGCCCAGCACTTGTGGAGATGGGCAGGTGGAACGGTGTGGCCGCTTTGGAGAACGGCTTGGCAAATCTCTTATAAAGCTGCTCATAGACTTCCCCTAAGACTAGCGCCAGCTCCTGGGTGTTTTACCCAGGAGAAATGTGCAGGAATAGCCAACAGATGCCTTGACAAGAATCTCCGTAGCAGCTCTTTTTAAATAAGAGCCAGACACCGGGAGAACCGAGGTGCTCACCAGCCAAAGAATGGAGACACCATTTGTGGCAGGTCCACCTAATGGAATACAACGCAGCAATGAAGAAGGACGGCACACCCTCGCAGCAATGAGACAGCTCCCGTGGACACTGTGTGGAGAGAAGGAGCCAACGCACAACAGCACTTGTGATTCCAGAGAAATGAACTTCAACATCAGGCAGAACCCAGCCCCTGGCACTAGACACTGAGAGAGAGGCACTCAGGTTTAGTGGCTGCAAAGGGTAGGGCTGGCCGCGGGGGCCCGCGATGCTCTTGGCATCTGGGGTGTGCCTGGCGAGCACGGTGTGTGTGGCCGGAGCGCTCTGCTGTGGGCACAGTGCACCTCCGTAACAACCTGGCCAAGAACACACTGCCCGTTCTCTGTATTTGCACACTTACAGTCTGTGAGGTCCCCACAGACACAGGCAAAGTGACCTCTGGGCTGACCCTCCTGGGGGTGCAGCGGGGTTCCTGCAGGTGCCCGGTCACAATATTTTCATCAACCCAGCCACACCTTATCTTGGGTTATGTGTGTTTCTGCCTAAAGACACTTTATGTAACGTGTACTATTGATCCATTAACATCGAGGGCGCAGCCAACAGCACTATTGGAACAAAGCGTCTCAAACACACATATTTTCTCCCAATTCTCTAATTTCACATCACACTTCTTGTGCTTAGGAATGGTTGGGGGCCAGTTTAAACAGCAAAATCACTCAGAAAAAGCCCCAAAGAGTGAAACACGTTGCTCTAACTAAGCCTTAAAAAAGGGATCCTTGTTCCCAGTCTCAGAAGAGAAGAGACGGCAGCCCTCGCCGGTTCCACCTCAGCTGGGCACCTGGGCACGTCCTCACTCAGAGCTCTTGCTGCTCAATGTGCCCATGAACAGCCGGCCACAAAAACGTCTCAGGAGTGTTGGTTTATAATAAATGTTACACTTTTACAAGGACTTTTACAAAAAAATACCAAAGGACTTCAGCAAGGAGGTGAATTCCCAATATGGAATCAGTGAAGAGAATCTGGCCCCCCTTAGAATAGAATGTGGCTATTTAAATCCACACTAATCACAAAGGATAAACGTGCAGCGTCCCCCGCACACCAGCTGGGTTTCAAGTGCTCAGCAGCCACACACAGACGCCCCATCACAAGGCACAGAGAGCATTTCCACGGTCACTTCCAGAAATGTTCCATCAGACAGAAGCTGGAGGGAAGGCTGCTTCTGGGCGTGACTTCCTCGCAGGACCTAGAGGCCCACCTCCTCTTATCAAATGATTCTTTGCTTGAACCCCCGCTGGGGTGGAGGTGCACCGATGTGGTCCCACTGGCGGGAACAGCATTGAGGGCAGAGGGAACAGCAGCCTCAGGCAGTAGACGGTCTTCATGGCACTGGGCCACCCTCCGTCCCAGCAGCACACCCTGGAGCACGGGACCCTATAGATGCCCCAGTACGGTAACAGGCATCTGGACTGGGCTGGGGGCAGGTGCACAGAGACACCGCCACACCTGGCGTGGCAGGGGACACAGCAGCAGGAGGTCGCACACAGGACGGGTCTGGACAATGCAACCAGAGCTGGGAATAGATGGATAGATGCGCTTGTGGGGAAAGTAGGGATTGGAGATCCTGCCTTAAGGAGACTCTTCTTGGGGGGTGGGGGGTGGTGATGCCTGGCTGCTGATACTTGATTTCTTGTCTGGGTGGTGGGCTCAGCTCTGTGTGTGCAAGTGTCTGAAATGCTTAAGACAGCCACCGAAGGAAAATCTCTGGGGTAACAGCTTTAGTGAGATGTAATTCACATACCATGCAATTCACCAACTTGTAGTGACAGTTCAATGGTTTTTCATATAGTCAAAAGTTGTGCAACTCTCACCAAAATCAATTTGAGGACATCCCATCACCCCGAAAAGCAGCCCCTCTCCCTTAGCAGTCACCCCAGCTCCCCCAGCACCATGAGCCCATGTTCTGTTTGTGGATCCACCTGTTGTGGACGTGTCACAGGAATGGGGTCACACAGTGTGGCCTTGTGTGTCTGAGCACCGTGTTCAGGGCCCGTCTACTTGTGGTGTGTAGCAGGGCCTCCTTTTCATGGCTGCGTGATGCTCCGTGTATGTGTGTGTGGATGGACACGTGTGTGTGCACACCCCTGTTGATGGGCACCTGACGTGCACCCACCTTGTGGCTGCTGGGGACAGGCGTGCACGGGGTTTCTGTGGACATGTGTTTCCGTTGCTCTTGAACAGACCGAGTTTCCTGGGGTCACTGCAAGAAAGCTCCAGAGACGTGGCAGCTTAAACAACACACAGTTGTTCTCTCTTGGGCCTAAAGCTGATCCTGCTGAGGCCTCCTCCTGTGGGCGTAGATGCCACCCTCTCCCCAAGTCCTCGCGTGGGCGTCTCTCTGCATGTCTGTGTCCTGGTCTCTCATAAGGACACTGGTCAGATTGGATCAGGGCTGCCCAACGATCTAATTATGATCGCCCCTGTGGAGACGTCCACCCCCAAGAGGGCCCCACTCGCAGGTGCTGGGTGGGAATCGGGGCCCCACCATACCTATTTCAGAGCCGGGTGGTGACATGATCGGTCCACACAGATGCCCAGGAGCAGAGGTGCTAGGTCACGTGGTAGCTCCATGCCTGACCTTCGGAGACCCAGGGGCCTTGGGTTTTGCACAGCGCTTATCAAGAGGCTGGGGACAGAGATGCAGGCCGTGGGCCTACACTGTCCGAGGTCACTCTGGGGGCTCCTGCCAGGCGCTGGGCTGAGCAGGAGGCTGGGCCACAGAGAAGGCGGCTGATAAGCATGTGGCTGAGGAGAGGAGCCACTGGTCGGCCTGCGGGAAACGGCCAAAGGCAGAGAAAGGCAGGAAGGGGCTGGATGTGGGGGAGGCCACCATGGAGGGTGCACTGGGGAGGCGGCCACAACGTTGCGGGGAAAACCACAAACGCCCTGCTGCGGGCTGAACTCAGTCCCCAAAAAGTGTGTCCACATCCTGAGCCCCACACCCATGAGCGGACTCACCTGGGAACGGGGTCTTTGTGGATGTGATGAGGACAGGGTCACACCAGATCAGGTGGCCCTAACACAATGTGTCCTTCTGAGAAGAGGGAAATGTGGACACAGACGCGGGGATAGGCCACATGATGAGGACGGGGCAGAGACTGGACAGAGGCGGCCACAGGCCTGGCAGCACCAGAGAGACCCTTCCCCTGAGACGGGACCAGCCTGCCCGTGTCCCGTCCGGGCCTGGTCTCCCAAGTGGTGAGGGAATGAATATGCTCTGCTCTCAGCCACCCTGTGCGTGATTCTTGGTGAAGGCCGCCACGGGAAATGCATTCTGCCTTCAAGGACCCAGGAGGGCCTGGCGGATGGAGCCGGAGCCCCGGCGTTGACCGCCCAGTGGATTGCGGTGGTGGGGTGAGAAGGCTTGTTTCCACGGCCTTGCAAAATTTATGAAAAGAAAGCTGCCTCAGTATGGAAAGGGAATGTGAGCCGGGCTGTAAGTGACCCGCAGCCATCTGCCCGCCGGCTGTCCGCCTGTCCACGGGGTCACGGGGCTGCAAGGGACCCCAGACCGCCCAGAGGGTCCTGGCCACGCTGGGGCACAGAGGGTGCCGCAGACCCAGCACCACGCTCACCGAGGTGGGGAGACCCCGGGCCCAGCCTGCTCCACCGCTGCCCTGCAGCCCGCAGACCTTGGTTTTGTCTTTCTTATTCCCAGGAGTAAGTAAGGATTTCTCTAAAAAGGTTGAACTGAATCGAAGCCCAGCGCTCACCACAGCAAGGCAGCCATTCTCAACTGGGGCAATTCTTCCTGCCCCCCCTGCACAGAACTCCGGGTAGCATCTGGGGGACATCTGTGGCTGGGGGAGCCCCTAGCATCCAGTGGGTGGGGCCCAGGGAGGCTGCCCACCCCCTGCAGTGCCCGGGACACCCCCTTCCTGAGAACGACCCACCCAAATGTCAGCCGAGTTAAGCTCAAAGCCCCCAGGGTCCACTGCATATGTGCCCAGGAACATTGGGCCTCCACTCCAGGGGGACGTGGGATCCTGGTAAGAGGCTGATTCTGGAAGGATCCGGGTGCCAAGGTGGGAATGTGCCCCCCTGGCAGACCCCTTGGCTCCAGGACAGAGAGCAGAGCAGCCCTCGGGGTTCGTAACAGGTAACACAGGAAACCCAAGACAGAAGCTCACAGTGGTGACATCACCCACATCAATACTTTATAGCGGGAAATCGAGCCTGAATTTCAGGGTGCGGGCGGCCGGCTCGGGTGGCCTCCAGGCCGCCCGCCTGCACGAGGCTCCAGACAGCCCACCTAGGGGTGAACAGGCCAGCAGGTGGCTGGCACTGCGGCTTTCCCTTCCTGCAGTGGAGCCCCCATCACCACTTCCCTCTCGTTTTGATGGGCCCAGGATGGGGGCCTCTCATCCAAGGTGGGTTTGGCCAGAGGCTGGCCCTGCACGGCTGGGGGCTTCTGCTCATGGCTGCTGGGGGACCAGGAGAGTGGGAGGGAAGAGAGAGGCTGAGGCTGCTGGCTCCAAGTGCCTTTGCAGTTCTGAACAGGTAAGATATTTCTGTAGACGGACAGATGACCCACCTGTGCATGAAAAGACACTCAGCACCACAAGCCAGACGGGAAATGCTCATCAGACCCACAGCAAGACACCACCGCACACCAGGAGGAGCCAGGTTCCCACACTATCCCCAGTGCGGGTGAGGACGTGGAGACAGTGGGACCCCGCCCACAGCTGGTGGTAAGGAAGGTGATCCAGTCGCCACGGAAAACAGTGGCCATTCCTCCAAAGAGTGAAAATAGAGTCCCTGTGGGGCCAGCTCTTCCCTCCAAAGAAAATGAAAACACAGAGATACGTGCATAACAATGACCACAGTAACGTGCTCACAGCAGCCAAAGGCTGGGAACATACAGGTGCCCATCAGCAGGGGAACAAACACATACACGTCCACCCACCCACGGAGCACCGCACAGCCACGACCAGGAGCAGAGCCCTGCTACGTGCCACACGTGGATGGACCCTGAACACACGGTGCTCAGGGAGACACCAGACACACAGGCCACATGGTGTGACCCATTTCTGTGGCACGTCCGCAGCAGGCGAAGCCACAGACAGAACGTGGGCTCATGGTGCCGGAGGAGGGGCTGAGGGGGCTGGAGGTCTGCTAAGGGGATGGGGCTGCTTTTGTTCATATATTTCCTACTGAGTTTAAAATTTATGCATGCTAAACACTCTTGTACACAATTAGATGACTAAACACAAGAAAACTAAAAATGATCTGTGCCTCCGCCCCCGGCAGTCAGCAATAACTGCCTTTAACGTGGGACATCTTCCTTTCAGAATATTTCCAATATTTATCTTGAAGAGGAAATATGCACGCATGTAAACATAGATATGTGTCCATGTATATATGCATGGGCATAAACACAATATATGTTGTATGCCTATTTATATTATACATACTACAATTGGGAACATGTTAATATGTTCTAACCATTGGCTAAAAATTACAAGGTATCCTTGTAACAAACTCATATAACCCCCGAAGCGTACCAAGTAAATGTGCAGAGCTCCGTTCCTGCTGATTCCCCCAGATCCTGCTAGTCTCTCCGATCCTGTCGATCCCCCCAGATCCCTGCTATTTCCGAGAGTTTGTCTGCGGCCTACGTGCAGCCCCAGTCTATGGGGACGGTCCAGCCCTTTCTGCTCCTTATAAGGTGACGTCACCCTCCCACCTCGCTTACACATCCTGCATTCTTTGGTTTTAAATGGTCTTCCAGCCTTCATCTCCCTTTTCCTGGATGCATTTAAAAAACCAGCTCAGGGTCTCCCAGGCTTTGTAGAAAACATTTAAAAATAGAGTTGGCAGCAGAGGAGGAAACAATTCTTCCAAGGCACCCAAGAGGGAATGACTGGTCGTTTTGGGAGTGGCTACACCAAACAGGGTTTTCAAATATAAACTTTGTAACTGAATGCTGGTCACCAAAGCGATACCCACGTTCCCGTGGAGAAGGTTCTCTGTTCTTTCCCTCGTTTTACCCCCTGAACTTTTCCAGAGGGTATTCAGATTTCTTCCAAAACATTTTTTCAAATTGCAGTAAAAGTATACATAACAAAATCTACCCTTTTAACCATTTCCTAGCTCACAGCCCTGCAGCATAAAGCACATTCCCAAAGTGTATGCATCTCCACCATCATCTCCAGAATGTCCCCAGGAGGTCGTCTCCACACGTGCCAGCCCCTGGCCCCGCCGGCACCCTGCCCTGGGCCCCTTCCACTCGGCCCGACTGGCCTCCTCAAAGCTGCTCAGGACCTGCAGTGGTCGCCCCAAACCCAGGCTCTGGGAAAGCTCACATGCGGTCCGCGCTCAGGGAGCAACCCCACAGTCCGGGCGCATAGGGGGCCTCCGCAGCCGGGCCCTCAGGCCCCTCAGACCCTCCCTCAGACCCGCCGGATGCCCAGGGGCCTTCCTGTCAGAGCAGCCGAGCCTGGCGGACCAGCAGAGAGACACAGCAGAATGAGGGGTTCTTTCTTTCCCTAAAATCCAACATGCTTGTCCTTTAAAGAAACCCACATTTTTGTCTTCCCTTGCCCTGAGCTTCTCTGTCCAGCTAACAGAGTTTAAATTCCCAGCCGTTCTCCTGGTGGAAAATTCTAGAATCAGGTGGGCAGGCCCTGGCCCTACTGGCCTGTATCGCCTCTTGTTTTCTTGGTGACTTCCTTTTTGCGGAAGATAAAATAGGTCCCAATGATAAAAACAAACGTACCAAGACGGCTTGTATTTATCTCCAAAGTGGGACCTCTGGGCTCCGGAATGTTCTTGTGTCACTTCCAGATATTGTACGGGGTTCCGGGCAGTCCGCCGCAGACTGCGCCACAGAGCTGGCCGGAGCTTTAGAAACCAGTTTGAAACCCCCCGTGTCCCTTCAACGGCCTGCAAAAGTCAGTTATTTCTCCCTGGGAAAATTTTGTCTCTGGAACCTTCCACGGAGGTCATTTACACCTTGAAGAATTCAAATAGTGAGGGACTCCCCCCTAGACCCCCAAATTCCCCTGTCAAGGAAGCTGAGATCTTGACCCTAATTGAGAAAAGAAAATTCTGTTGGGTCCCCGTGCACCGTCTTTGACATTTCTTTAGGAGGCAGGGTTTGGGGTGGTTTCGATTGCTTTTCCAAGCACACCTTGTTAATAATGTTCTTTGTTCCCTCCCCAGGCAAGCTCAGAAAGGCGGGAGGAAGCCTGGGGTGGGCCCTGGGGTGGCCTCCCACGCCTTCGCGGGGCCTGGGGGCCTGGGGAGGCCGACCGCCCACATTCCTGACATTCTTTCTCTCCTTCCCACATTGTTTGTTTGTTTGTTTTAAATTCGACCAGGAATTCCTTTTGGAATCTGCTGGGACTCTCAGCGTGTCCTAGAGCCGCTGCTGGGCCCAGGCACAGATCATTCCAGCACCCTCCTCGGCTATACCCTCCCAGAGACACCGCACACGGGCCATCTCGCATTTGAGGGCGTGCAGCAAGCCTGCAAGACCCCAGCCCATGCACGCACCCCGAACACTGCACCCCGACTCACCTCCCCACATTAGAACCGGCTGCCTTCCAGCCAGGACCAGCTGGGCCTTCCCACCTTGCCTTAGTGGGGAGGAAGGCAGAAAGAGACATCTGCCACTTGCAGGCCAGGCTGGGCTGTGGTGGACACCGAGGGAGGCTTGGACCCAGGCAGGGACACCGTTAGACAGTGGGCAGCCCCAGGACTGCAGTCATTCCCCAGAGCCTCCGCAGGATTCACGCCCACGGGGCCCCGCGGTCCCCGGACTGGGGTACCTGAGAGCCCATATTTCAGTCCCTGGTGCTGGGCATCAGTGGGCACCACGATGGTGTCTCTAAGGGGTTGTCCTTTGCAGAGTTAGGTGCCCAGCCTGCAGAGAGCCCTGCACTGGTAGGGGTGCTGAGGGGCGGGGGCTGCACGTGTGACCCTGACCGCCTCTGGGAAGCAAGGGTGGAAGTAAGCAAGATAATGTCTGCCAGCCTTGCATGGCACCAGGCGGGTGGGAAGGTGCCAGCGCACCTGGGGCTGAAGTTGTTCTCGGGGGTGTGCAGAAGTGGGGTCAGGGCCAGCTGTGCAGTGGAATTAACCATTTTTAAGTGAACAATCCCTGGCATTTAGTACATTTTCAATGCTGTGAATCATCACCTCTGACCATCCCCCAGAGCACCCCTGTGAGCCATCACCCCCACCCTCCCCAGCCCCTGGCACCCACGGGCCCACACTCTGTCTGTGGATCTGCCTGCTGTGGACGTGTCCCAGGAATGTGGTCACCCTGTGTGGCCTGTGGGTCTGGCTCTCACCGGGCACCGTGTTCAGGACCCGTCCACGTGTGGCGCTTGGCAGGTCTCTGCTCCTGTCGTAGCCGCGTCCCGCAGTGGCTGCCCTGCGGTGCTCCCATCCGCACCAGTGGGCAGGAGCCAGGGGTGCAGGCCCCCGGCCTTCGACCTTCCCAAGTGGCCCGCAGCCGCGCGCGAGCCCACACGCCGTGTTTCTGCCCTGTGATAGCCTCGTGCACAGCTGGGAAATGGGAAAGTCTGGACAAGTTCGGGCAGCCTCCCGGCGAGTTACCGTCTTGGACTGCAGGGGCTGGAAAAACCTGCTGGGGATGCCCGGTCTGGAGGCTCCCTCCGTGAGCCGTGAGGCGCGGGGGCTGGTGTGGTCTATCTGTGGCCACCCCAGTGGCTTCCTTCCGGCATTTTCGGCCCAAGTAGGGAAACATGAAGGGAAGGGAGGAGGGGGCACAGGAGTCAGCACCCACTCTTGCCAGGCCTGCAGGAGCCGCTGGCAGCCTGTTTGGCTTCTTGCTCCTGCCTGGCCATAGCTGAGGAACCTGCAGTTTGGAGTCGATCTCCAAGGTCTCTCAGCTCCAAGCTGGTGAGATTTGAAGTGGCCTCTGCTTGACCCTGGCCTCCTGCCACCTCCAGGGTCAGCTCTGGCCACAGTGGGAGCACGGTGGCCACTGGCCCTGCCCTCCTGGGGTCCCGGGTGGGAGCTGGCCAGGATGCAGGCAGAGCCTTGCAGTGGGCAAGCGGCCCGGACTCGCAGGAGATGTCCGCACGTGGGTGCTTACACCCACTTCATTCATAACTGGTGGGACCGGGAGACACTGGTGAGGGGCCTACGGGGACTGTAATTTCTGCTCCGTTTTCTGTAAGCCTACAACTGCTAAAAAAATAAAAAAATATTAAGAAAGGGCGGGGATGCTGACAAGAACAGGGTGGGGCCCTCCTAAGGGCGAGGCCCTGAGGTGACTTGGGAAGGAGTATGCTGACGGGGTAGAGGCCCTACATGGACATTTTCCGAAGAAGATGCGATGGCCCACGGGGACTGCGTCAAGATGCTCAACGCCGCCGTCCTTGGGGAGATGCACGCCTGTCGTCGCAGCTGCTTATCAGAAGGACAAGAGAGGCCCGTGTGGGCGAGGATGCGGCGAAGGGGGACTCCTTGTGCACAGATGGCGGGAATGTAAACCGGTGCAGCCACCGTGGAATATGTACGGACGCTCCTCAGAACACTGAAAACGGGAATACCGCATCACCCAGTAAGTCCACTTCCGGGTATTTATCCGATGGAAACAAAAACGTGGGTGGGATAGCCTGAGATGGGGAGCTGGAACAGATTTCTTAAAATTATACTCTCTGTAGCGTGTAAATTGATTTGTGTAGAAGACTAGTAAAGATATACTTTTAAATTATGCAGAAAAAATAAATTGTACAACTCAAGGGTTTCTGGGATGTTTACAGAGCTGTGCACCCACCACCCCTGCCCAGTTCCAGAACATTTCACCACCCCCAGAAGAGCCCGTCCCCTTAGCAGGCCTCCCACCGCCTCCCCAGCCCCCGGCCCCCACGGGCCCACATCTGTCTGTGGATTCGCCTGCTGGGGACGTGTCACAGGAACGGGGTCACACAGCATGCGGCCTGTGTGTCTGGCGTCTCTCACTGAGCACCATGCGTTCAGGGTCCGTCCACGTGTGCCTCGTGTCGGGGCTCTGCTCCTCTTCATGGCTGAGGGATGCTCCGTGTGGGGAGACACACGTGTGTGTCTGTCTGCTCACCTGTTGGGTGTTTCCACCTTTTGACCGTGGTGTGACCTACGCTGTTGTACCACCCATGTACAGGTTTTTGTTTGAACACCTATTTTTAATTCTTTGGGCACATAGCCGGGAGTAAAAATGTGAGACCCACAAGTGCATAATGCCCAGAAAGCCTGGGCACCGATGGCCCTGGGGGGACCTCACGCTTCTGGCTGCCCACTCTGGCAGGGCCCGGCACCCCATGCCCTGGGGAAAGAGAGAAAAGGCCCAAGCGGACAGAAAGGGAGGGCCCAGCATAGCCCCTGGTTCCCACCCTGGACACAGGTCCTCCAGGAGCCCCTGCAGGTGGCCACGTTCTCATCCACACCATGTGGTTACAGTAACGACTGACCTAGTGAGGCCGCCAGCCAGACGGACAAGACATAAACAGCGACCTCCCGTCCCCAGCCCTTTCCATTTGACTTGGCAGTAAACGAGGTTTTGTAACTTCACATTGACGGTTTCATGCCAAACTTGCAGATAGGCTCAGAAATACCGTAATGTAGGCCCAGGGATGCATCTTCCAGCAACACCCCCCTAAGCATCTACATAAGTCAGGGGTGGAGCACAGAGTGAATCTGCTGCCCCAGGTGACCTGGCACAAGTCAGGGTGCTTCTGGGAACTTGGTCTCTTTATCTGTGAATGAAACCAGCTCCTTCCCTCCACCCTGCACGTGGAAAAGCTGATGCTACTGTTGGCAAACTGTCCCCTTGATGACTCATGCATGGAGCCTCCTTGCCTATAAAATTCATTTCTAATTAAAACAGTTAGCATTTTACTTTAAACAAGCTGGTTTGTCCAAACACCCCATTAGGGGAGTCAAAAGGCAAAGCACAGATTGGGGGAAGATACTTGCAGTGCATAATCCTACGAAGGACTCAGGTCTGTAATATGTAAAGATCACTAGCAAATCAATGACAAAACCAAACAGCCCAGTTGAAGTAAATGGGCCAAAGCCTTGAAGGGCAGGTCCTGAAGACGGATACCAAGTGGCTGATGACATACTGGATGGGGCCAGTCCTTGGGGAGGTGCAGGTCCAAGCTCCTGTGAGGTGCCCTGCACACCACGAGCAGCTGACACTGACCTAGAGTCCAGCGTCAAGGGCAGGCCAGACCCGGAGCAATGGAACTCTTGAACCCACTGTTGGGAACGCAAAAGGGGAGGACCCTTTGGAAAGAGTTCCCCCCACCGAGGCCTTCATCACACTGCATACCATGATCGGCCCCAGTTCCCAGACGAGGCACAGAGGGGCTCAGCCACTTGCCCAGAGTGACCAGCCCATCAGAAGAGGGGGCTGGCCCCCCGCCTGGGGCCACAGGGTCTGTCTCCTGAGCAGTTTCCACTTGGTCTGCTCCTGGGGGCCAGCTCTGGGTCACCCTGCTGCCCTTCACTGGTCAGGGACTGGCCCCAGGCCTCCCCAGGGCTGGGGTGGAAACCTCACCTCTGTAGACAGATGGGGGAGAGACACGGAGAGGCCCCATACCTGGAGCCAGGTGGAGGGCAGCCCTTGGGGGTTGCAGACACCTGCTGCGTGTGGGCCTCTGGGCTGGCACCAGGTGGCCTCTTTTTATCCTGTGAGATCAGAGACGGCCTCAGCTCCCGGTGCAAGCCCAGGCCCCCCGCAGGTTGGCCTGTGATTCTGTAACCTGGGTGCTGCAGGAGGCTTCCCGGGGGCCTGGTGTCCCACCTGGGAGAGGAGTCAGGTCTGTGTGAAGCCTCTGTGTGCCGCTGGTTCTCCAGCAGTATTTCCAAACAGCCACCCCGTGGTAAGAGGGGGCCAAGCGAAGACCTGTAGGGACCAGGGGGCGTTTGAGGGCATCTGGGAAGGGTGTCCAGGTGCAGAGCAGAGCTGTGCAAAGGCCCTGGGCAGCACCGGGACTGGCGTGTTGGGGGAGCAGTGAGGGGGCCCTTGGAGCAGAGTGATGGGTGGGTTGTGCAGGGCCTGGGGAGCTGCGGGGAGGATTTGGGCTCTGACCCCAGGAAGGTGGGAGCCTGGTCGTCCACAGGTACCATTTGGCAGCCGTGGGCAGGACAGACAAGAGTCCCGCTGGTCCAGGAGGGTGGAGGGGAGGGCGGTGGAAAGGATGGGGGCTTGAACAAAATGCATGGTTTGGAGACTGTGCTGTGGCCGCTGGCCATGGGGAGCCCTAGAAGGCTGTGGGGGCAGAGAGAAGTGCAGTGGGTCCCTTGTAAGCTTCCCCGTCCTACCCCCGGGGTTCTCTGAAGGTCACAGGCTCTTTGCCAGCCAAGCCATCTGTGGGGACACATAGCTGATCACAAGCAGGAAACCAACACAGGAAAGAGCGCAGGGACAGAACTCGGGACAAAATTTTAAGTTCTGTTTGCAGTATAATTTTTTTTTAAACATATATATATATGCATACATATTTAAGGCTAAACTAATGCTGTAACAGTTTTAATACACCTACTTCTCAATGTTTTCAATTAATGTTCTAGGGAAAAAAATCTATCAGAAGATTTTCAACACATAAAAACACTATAGAGGGTACGCGGTTTCCTCAGTCACACGTGTCTTGGTGAAGCTCTCTCTCCGGTCCCCTCTCTGCTGCCTCCACCAGCCTAGGGGTGTTTTGTGGGGCGGTGGCTGCGTTTGCTCCCATCTGGACGCCAAAGGGGTGCTGGGAATGCGTCTGGCAGGAATGGGATCCCCAAAGAGCAAGTCGAGGTATTTCTCTGGGGCGGCTGAGGGCTGGCGCCGCATTGTTAGTGAGTGATTTGCTGCCCTCTGGTGGCAGCGGGCGTTTGCTCTTTCAGCCTCGAACCAGGAAATTGCGTGAGTTCCTCCTGGTTGTGTAGCAAGCAAGGTTTTATTTATTTACTAGGTCAATAGCAACAAGAACCAACATTTTTTCAGCACCGATTCTGCACCTGGTGCCTGGGAACTCTCGTGATGCGGCCCCCTCCAGGCTAGGAGAAGGCATGGGCCTTGCCCATGGTCACTCGGGGCAGAGCTGGGGCTTGAACCCAGGGCTCTTAACCTGGCGAAGGAACCCCTAAAGCCTTTTTTGGGGCCTGGTACCAGCTGAGCCTGAAGCTGGTCCTACTT